GAGGCGCCTGCTCGGAACTCCCCCCCGCTGTCGCGTAGTGATAACTACATGCACTCCGGGCCACTCGCCCCGGCCCCGCCCGTTGCGCCTGTTGCGTGCCCTCAGAGCGAGCAAACAACTGAGCCGAGGACTGCCCTCTGGCATGGCCCACCCGCACCGCGCGCAAAACTTCTGGCCACTTTCCGGAGATGCTCCGCATCTAGCACCTGCGCCTCTTCCAACGGTATCTGCAGGCGTGGCCCAGCGCCAGTGCCCTTCCCTATAGTCTTCCATTCCTCCAAGTCAGAGTTCAGCTTGGAAGTGCGCGATTAAATCCCATGCGCAGGGTGGGTGCCGGCCTGCTACCGAGATGTAGGTAGCTTCAACCACCTGTGTGCTTTCTTGCAACCGCTCTAAATAGCCTCAGCGACTAGCATGCACCAGACCCCCGGCGAAATATTGCTCGATCGTGGTCGCTTCCACCGCAGCGCTCCAATTTGCACCTCGGTGCCAATCCTCTCCCCACGAAAACTCGAAGTCGTAACTGCAGCACTAGATGTCCAATTGCGGTCCAACGTCGACCTCATCGCTCTTCAGGCCCTCATGGCGTTGCACCTGTCCCCCGCGAACACGCAGTCCTGATCCCAATTCCTCTTCAAAGCGTACCCGAAGTCGACCGTGACCATTGAGGCCCGGCGCCGGATCCGCGATGCCGAGGTGCCTTCTGCACCATGCCCTGGAGCTTTGCGAGCGCCCGCCACAAACTTGAGCTCTAGCCATGGCGTCTCCCCTCGCCCTTAACACGCTCCGCGTAGACGATCGCCCAGCTGGCGACGGCCTGCTAACTCCTGCTCAGCTACCCTCTGCCACTCGGCGCAGCAGAGCGGCAAGTCTCCTTCGCCACGAGCGCGCTCGCAATCTCGATGGACACTCGGGTGCAACGGCGGAGGTCGCGGCACTCGCGCCGGGCACTCCGTCGGGAACATCTCGGGCATCTTAAGCTGCTGCGCAAGTGCAGAGCGCCAGGCCCAGCGCCCAGCTTCATTCCAAGAAGTGCTTCCTGACCACGAAGTGTGATCCAGCGCCCTACCTCGCCGCGACAACATGCCCATTGTGTTGGCGCTTCGGCGCCTGGAGGTCCTTCAACTCAGAAAAGGGTCATGTTCCAGTTGCCCCGAAGGATAAAGGGCCTGCCAGTTCTCTCGAGCTGCCCCATGCACGCCATGGCCGCGCGCACGTCGGCATCCGCGAACTCCTTCTTGACCATGCGCCCAGAGACTAGGCAGATGGAGGCAGTCATGAAACCACCGGGCAACATGCCATCCACCCACTGCGCAGTCCATCTCCACGCTGGCGGCGCCCCCCCATCCAAGGCCAGGGGCACCGTTAAGGCCATGCCATGTCGTGCACCAACTGATGCACCCGAGCTGGCAGATTGCCCTGCCCCGTTTGCGGGATGGCTGCAGACGGCAGTTCCAGCCCTTGTGATGGGGCCGAAGTGCAGCATCGCCTACCGCCGCACACAGAAGCTGTTGCCCCTAGAAAAGGATCCCGTCTGTGTTCAAGGGCATTTGCAACACCTCATTGCCAACCAGCACCGCCTTCGCCGCCTCCTTCTGCGCTGCCGCGACAGGACGCGGCAAGCGCCGATGCGCGCCCCTGGGGGCGGCCCTCTAAGAGCTCGGCAGGGGCGTTGGAGCGCCGGAACCCAGATGCCGTAGTACGTGGTCATGTCACGATCTCGAGTGTGTACTATTGGTCCCACTAGTACAATCGTTCCCATGAGTTTGAACATGCAGCGTCGTGAAAAGAAGGGGCGCGTTTGCCCCGCATGCTGTCGTGCGAAACCCATCACCTCGGCCATAATTGGTGTAGTTCGTGCAGCAATGCCAAAAACACGTCTGGCTTGCTCAGCGGGTCCCCAGTCCCATTGCGCAATTTTGTCGCGCGCGCTCCGCCGGGGGAAACATCGACGCATGATATCATAACGCTGCTCCGTTTCAAACCTCGATAACTTCGCGCGGTTTGGATGGGGGAACGTTGATTTGCAATCCGCAAATTCCCCCCCCAAGCGCATCCAGCACCAGACCTATGTAACCCACGTGTGTCCAACGCATCGGTGAACAAATGCTTGGCGTGACAAGTGTCTGCCACAAGTGCAGCCTTGGGGCTTCGACGACCTTCTCGACGCAATCAAAAGTAGGCACCTAAACATGCCAAGTTGCCCCTTGCACTGCTACGATAGGCTCAATGGAGACAAGGTGCTGACGGCATTGATTGGCCCGCACTTCTGCGCGCAGTGTGGGGCTCCATTTCGCCCAGCCGGCTGATTATATCAAACTGGTCACTCAGTATCGCGTCATTTTTTACGATCACTTCTGCGAGCTGACTGCGTTCCCGTCGCGGGTCCGGTCTGTATTGCCATCGCCTTCCAAACGCGCAGATTTGCTGCTCGACGTTCCAGTCCAATTGCTTCTTGGCCCATGCCGTGGCGCAGGTACAACGAATGAAGAGGATGTTTGTTGACAGTCTGGAACTTGAGCCTCACTTAAGCAAGATTGAGCCTTGACCAGTGACAAAGCTGTGATGTTGACAGCGACATAGCTCCATTCTCGAATGCTGCGCGAACCCACTCCCCCATGGGACTGACGCGCGCGAATCTCCAGCCTACCTCGCTGAAGCCCACTTTCTCCGCAACCTGGGGCCGCAGTTTCCCCGCGACCTCCTCCGACTCGGTCATGGTCCTGCTAGGCAAGCCTCTCGTGCACGTCACCTCCGCAGACGGACTGGCACCACTGGATGTAGCCGAAGTGCTGCAAGCGGTCCACTCGTCAATGGCCCCGAGGAGCGGACTGCTGTGGGTCAGGGCATCGACCACCTGCCCATCGGCAGCCTGGCCCAGGGATTCAGCGCGGCTGCTTGCCTGATGATCAGCTTCATGGGTGACCGTGCCTCCTCTGCACACCTCCACGGGGGCTGCGCTCCATTCGCCAGTGGACCCATGGAGCGGATGACCCTTGGCACGGGCATCGACCACCTGCTGGTATTCAGCACTGCCACCAATATATACTGGTGGTAGTGCTCCAATATATATATATACATATATATATATATACACATATATACATACATACATGCATACATACATATACATATATATATATATGTGTTGGGGGCAACACTGCCACCAATCTATATATACATGTATATATATCGCCACCACCCACCACACCAACCTGCACTTCGACACCATACTGCGTGGCAGCGGCATGCCACCCACCTCGCAGTGGATCACTCCGTTTCCATAGTTTTTCGTGCAAGCGGCCTATCGCCAAAACAATGTCCCATTCATGTTGCCCCCAAATTCTTCATCCAAGATTCACAGTCGATTCGCTTGCCATCTGCTTCAACTTGACCAGGAACTGGGGGCTGGACCTTCCTCCGCTTGACAGCGGCGGCGGCATTGGCCACTGCGAGGGACTCCAGCAGGCGTACCCTGGCGGCCTTGATCCGCGTGCACTCCTCCGCCTCCCCCTCGTCGATACCATCGAGATTGAGCCCAGCCTGAAGGGAGATCTCCTCGTAATCGTCCTCGTCGGGTACAAGAATATCCACGTGGCCCAGCATACCATTGTCATGATTATAGTCACTATCCGAGCCCAAATTATAAACTGTCCCGCATTCCTTCCGTTGTGACTTGTCCACTTTGTCGGTGAGCTGCTGTTCGAGGAGGAGGAGAGGGAGGGAGAGAAGGAGCCAGTTACGGAGTTACGACAGCGTCGGGCTGGGGATAAGCTCGTCGCCACTGGAGGACGGAAGAACTTCCAGCCGGTTAAAGGAAGAACTGCGGAAGTACGATATGTCCGAGAAACTACAGAGGAGGGCGAGGCATTAGCGTGCCTTCGCATTGCCTGCGCAACTTTGCTTTACGCCTTACGCCCGACACTGCGAAGGGCAGTTCTAACACGATAGCCCATTCCGATTACCTGTGGCCTGCTTTGGACATGGGTCTCCCAGCTTGGCGAAAAAGGACGAGGAGGAGGAGGAGGAGGAGGAGGAGCAGGAGGAGCAAGGAAGGGGAAGGAGGAGGAGGAGGAGGAGAAGGAGGAGGAGGAGCCAATTACGGAGTTGCGAGAGCTTCGGGCTGGGGGTTAGGGATGAGCTCGTTGCACCCTCGGCTGCGGAAGTGCGATCGCTCCTTTTGGTTCAGCTGCGCCGTCCCTGGAGGAAGGCGTCACGCCGCGGACGCAGCAGCGCGCCGTCTGCTCCACCTGTTCGACCGCGCGGAGTCGGCGGCGGGCGCAGCTTGGGCAACGGTCGTCGCCGCCGCCTCCTTTGAGCAGGGGCTGACCGTCCCAGCATTCCTATAAGTTTCCCCTCTGGGCCTTCTCCTGAGGAGGAGGAGGAGACGAGGAGGAGGAGAGGAGGAGGAGGAGGAGAGGATTCCGCGAATTTGTTGTGTGTCCGGGTGCTAAACCTATCGTGCGGTTATTTCGGCCCCTCGGAATATCGAATAAAAATGCTGTGCTAAGATATCGCCGGGGGGGTTCTTAAATGCTTCCTGGGGTTAGGCCTACCACGACATGCTCCCACAACAAAAACAATGTCCTCTGAACAAAATCCCCATTGCCACGTGTTAAACCAACAGCGTCCCAGCCAGAACTGTTCCAAGAGCCTTTCGTGCAGAGCACAGAAGGGTTCTCAGAACACTCTCTTGGATGGGCGTATGGGCGAGCCGGGACGCTTCGCCACTGCTTGACTCCTGCTGCGGGGGCGCGACGCCGGCGGAGGGTGCCCGCGGCGCCGCCCGGGGGGCGCCCGCGGTGTCCACGCCCGCCTCCCCCTGCGGGGGCGCGGCGCTGGCGGCGGAGGGCGGCTGCGGCGCAGCCCCGCGGGCGGCGACCGCGCCCGCCTCCCGCGGCGGGGCGCGGCGCCGGCGGAGGGCGGCGGCAGCGCGGCGGCGGCCGCGGCGCACGCGCCCGGCGGCGCCGGCGCGGGGTGCTGCTCGAGGCCCGCGGGCGTCACGTGCTGGACGAGGACGGCCTGGCCGAGCTGGCCGCTCGCCAGGCACGCCGCCACCTCTGATGGGCCTGTTTTCCACCAGGACCACCACCACCACCAGAAGCTGGAGGGTGGAAAGGGAGCGGAGGACGAGGAGAAGGACGAAGACGGGGAGGACCCCCTCCCCCCCCTATTACCTGCGGTGGTGGCAGCGGAAAGCGAGCCCACCTCCGCCCGCAGCGTGCCCGGGCGCCGGAAGTCGGCGTCCCCGGGCCCGGCCAGGAAGGCGGCGGGCTCCCTCTCCGCGGCGGCCAGCAGCCTCCGCAGCACGTCCTGGCCCTCCTCGCTGCGCGCGTGGCCGGCGGCGCCCCCGGCCTCGCGGCGCCCGAGGGGGTAGTGGCGGTAGCCCAGCGCCCGGGCGGCGCACGCCCGCCGCAGCGACTCGGGCTCGCTCCAGCTGCCCCTCGGCGGCCGCGCGCGCAGGTCCCAGAGGGTCCGCGCCCCGTGGCGCTCGAGCTGGCCGAAGAGCTGCTTCTCGGCGGCCCTGGCGTCCGAGGCGCCCTCGTCGCAGCACGCCGAGAGCACGGTCGGCACCGCGGCCGCCGCGGGCCCGCTCCGCGACGCGCTGCCGCCGCCGTCCTCGAACTGGAGGCTCGAGTTGGGGCTCTTCAGCAGGCTGCGGCGCCGCGTGCCTGGGTCCAGCGCCTCCGCCAGCGCCGCGACCTCCGCGGAGCCCCCACCGCCCGGCGCGTGGCCCTCGCAGCAGCCGCCCCGCCCCGGCGCCGCCGGCGTGCCGCTCCAGAGCAGGGCCGCGTTGAAGTTGCGGTCCACGCCGACGTGCAGCTGAGGAGCCGGACCTGTTGCGCGGGGAACCTCCTCATCCTGCTCCCCATCGTCTGTGATCGTCTTCCACTGGCGCTCCAGGTTGTCCGAGTCCGGGTAGAAGAAAATTACAAGAGATATGCGCCCGCTGGTGATCTCCGGCATCACAGGCACGCCGTGGTTCTGCGTCCCGAAGACGACGAGGTCCCCGTCGCGGAGCAGCATGGGTCGGCCGTCGACCGTGAGGATGCGGTTGGCCCCGAACGACAGCAAGCAGGTCCAGAAGTCGTGCCTGTGGACGCCGGTCCTCTCTTGGCCGTCTGCGTAGTAGTTCATGAAGATCCGAGCCTGCGTGTCGCGGATGTCCATCACGGAGAAGACCCTCTGCAGGAGCTTGTCCAGAACATCGAGGCCGCCGGTGTAGTCGGACACCTGGCGCCCGGCGCGGATGCTGCGCCCCCTCTCGTCGTAGCGCAGGGCCAGCTCGCCCGTGTTCTGGTCGCGGCTCACGACCTTGGCCTGCCTCCAGACCACCTGCTCCTTCAGAGTCTCGAAGAGGGAGGCGTCCTCCGTGAACCTCCGGCGGATGTCGAGATCGCGGAAAGAGTGCAGGCCGGCTTTCTGGAGGACGACGTCCCTGGCCCCAGCGGGGCGCTCGAGCGTGGCGGGGTGCTCGCGCCACCACCTCTTCACCCAGTGCTCCGAACGCCCGAGCTTGGCGGCTATCTCGGCCTTCTCCATCCCCCGCTCACGGAGCGTTATCGCCTTGAGCTTGTCCTGGTAGTCCCTCAGGGGCCCGGACGAAGCCGAGGCGACGGCGCCAGAGACGTCCTCCCTCGGGTCCGCTGGGAAGCTGGCCGTGCGCTCGGCACCGCGGTCCTCTCGGGTGCACGCAGGAGTGACCCTGGGCAAGAGTGAGCTTTGGTGCGCTGCTTAACGGGGGACGCGGGGTGGCCAAGCCCAGTCGCGCAAGCCCCTCCTACCGCTTCGCGTGCGGCGATCGGGGGGACCCCAATGGGCCCGCATCAGCGGTCACTCCGACGAAAGGTCACTCTTACCCAGACCCCCGACGTCATGTTTTTTCAATGACGTCGACCTCCAGGGATCTCGACCCATTACCGGGGACTGGTTTCTCGCCCTGAGTCGTTTTTGACGGTCCCGAGGCCTTGTGAGGGCCCCAAAAGGCCGAACATAGAGAAAAACATCCCGTCGTCATTTTTTCACAGCGCGAGGAGGTCTGGGCACGCAGGAGAGCCCAAAATCGAAGCGACAAATCGCATCGGCGATCGAAATGAATCGGATCGGTGGGAATCGGCAGCCGAGTCGGAAAACGTCGAATCGGCGGAAATCGACAGAGCAATAAGTCTCCACTGAGAAATCGGAGCCCGAATCGGAATCCGAAGCCGAGTCGAATCGTACTCGGAAGCCGGCGACGTCGAATCGAATCGAATCGGAGGAATCGAAGCGAGCCCTGGCGGGGTGGGTCGCGGCATGGATCACAAGGTGGGTCACGGGTGGGTGCTCGCGGGTGGGTCGGTTGTGGGGGGGCCTGGTCTGCGGACCCGAAGCGAGACCGCCACTCCTGAGCAGACAGCGAGGAAGCATCAAGCGGGAGCGCTGGTTCTGTTGGAGGGCCAAGCCCCTGGGTGAAAAACGGGGGAGTGGAGAGCGGGAGCGACGCTGTTTTCGAGCTCCTATTTCTGAGAAGAATCCGCCACCGTGCCGCTGGGCACGGAGTGGGCGTGTCTTCAAGTCCTTTGCCCAATCCCCTGAGCCTCAGTCCTCGATCCTAAGAAGTCTCTCAGGGGCCCGACCCCAAATGTCGAAATTTCTTGGGGCTTCGCGTGTGACCCGTGGGCCTCAGTCGCGGCTTCCCGTATGACTTCTCCGGGCCCCGGGGAACCTCAGGGCGTGCCAAGAGGGCCCCACGAGGTCCCCAAGTCGGTCCAAGAGGTCCCCGAGTAGCCGCAAGATCGCTCCAAGACGCCCAAGATGGCCTCCAGATGGCCCAAGAGGCCTCCAAGACGCCCCAAGAGGCCTCTCCAGAGGGCCCCAAGAGGCAACCATCATTGATTTCGGCGTTCTCGCCTGGCGCAAGAGGCGCCCAAGAGGCCCCCAAGACGGCCCCAAAAGGGGCCCAAGAGAGGGAGCACGAAGCGAAAACCCAAGCCTCGCAAGAGGTCCCCGAGCAGCCGCCAGCAGCGAGAGCGACGTTAGCTAGCCGATCCTCGTAGCGATAGGTGAGCACGCCGGCCTCGGCGGGACGCGCCCGGGCGCCGCCGCGACGGCGCGCCGCCGCGTCGCCCCCGGCGCTCTGCCGCTGCAGGCCACGGGCGGGCACCTGCGCCGCCATTGGCCCGGCGCCGCGGCGGGCCCCGCCGGGGGGGCGGCGCTGCGCGGCCCTCTGCGCCGGGCGCTCGCGGGGCGACGTCGGCGACGCATCCGCGACGTCGGCGTGGGGAGAATGGGGCTTCACATCGAGCCGCATCGGCGATGCATCGGCGATGCGGCGCGATCCTCCGACCCCATCTGCTCGGACCCCATCTGCTAGGTTTACAGCAGGCGGGTTGTGGAAGGAAAGTGTAAACCTAGCCAAAAAATCCACCGGCCCCCTTGTGGGGCCACCAGGCTGCAGGAGCGGGATTCGCAGTTTCCTGTGCCAGTTGTAGCTTGTAGTTTCCAGTGTTATAGTTCTGCGCGCGCCTCCTCGGCCCCCATCGAGCCAACGTGGGCTCGGGGAGGGACCCGGGGTCGAAATCTGCAGTCAGGACGAGCTGTGACGACGCAATGGTTTAATGAGCTCGTGAATGGTTGTTTTCGGTGAGCACGTTGGGGCATGGGGAGGGAGCATAGAGAGCACCGCCGCCTCGCATGCTCAAGCACGCGGGATCACGTTTTACTTTACTGTGCCCGACGTCACGGGCCATGACGCCCGCCCCTGAGACAGGGGCGTCCTCACCCTGGCCCCTGGGCTTCCGCATGAGAGCCAGCGGGGCGCTCGCCTGCGTGAGCTTCCTGAGCCTCATGCTGGCGCGTGGGGCCTCTACGTGGAGAACGGCGCTCGGACGGGCAGCAGTCGGCATGATCACGATCCTAGGCGCCCTGTCCTGCTTGGCGTGGCCTTGGCTACCCCGCCGCGCAGGCCCAGCGCTGCCCGACAGCGACATGCAGTCACTCAAGGACGAGCTCGAGCGGATGCGTGAGCTGATGCGGGCATCGGGCATGGCAACAGGAGGTGACCATGGAGAAGGCGGACCCGACGGCGAGACCGAGGGGCTGGCTGCCGCCGTGCCCTTCGGGATTCCCTGTGGAGCCCCCGCCCTACCGCCCGCCCTCGGCGCCAGCGGCGCCGCCGCCAGCGGCTATGCGCCTGCGGGGGCCAGCGCCCTCGGCGACTTGGCGGGCTGGGCGGGGGCGCCTGGGACCGCGGGTGGCGGTGAGGCCGTCCATCGTCCGACCGAGGTCGGAGCCGCCAGCAAGGCGGGCGCCGCCCTCGTGAAGGACTATTTGATGACCACCAGCGCCACCGCCCACGCGGACCCCTACTGGGCCACGAAGTTCTGGGAACCAGTGGCGAGGCTCGAGCAAGGCGGCCGCCTCGGCATGTCCGTGGTGCACCTCTTGCGCGGGCACGGCTACGTGGGCGCAGGTACCGCCACGGTGCCGAGAGTGGCCGACCTGGCCCGAGGGCTGGAGGCCTTGGCCCCCAGTGCAGCGCCTGCCCTCGGCGGGGCGGCGGGCGACCCGCTGGGCCTCGGAGGTTTGGCCACGGCGGGTGGAGGCAGCCAGGAGACGAGATGGGGGGCTAGCCTCCCGCCAGATATGCAGAGGGCCGGCGCGGAGATCTATCGAGCGATGGGGGCGGAAGGATGTACTTCTACACGAGATTGGCTGTCGGCTCGGTGCGGCGGGAGCCGCGCGTCGCCCGCGTGGACCGATCCATGGACGTTGGCCTCCACCGTGGACTCTGCCGTGCGGGGCTGCAAGACCGAAGGTGACCTCACGAAGTTCCTGAGCACCAGCGACCTGATGGAGATCTCCCTCCGCCGCCTGGCGGCGTATATGTATGAGAGCAGGTCAGGGGGCCGCACGGGAGCGCTCCGCATGCTGGGGGTATCGCCTCCAGGCAGCCAGGCCGACGTCGCGCCGAGCTGGCTGGTGCAGTCGGCCACCTCCCACAGCAAGGCAGAGCACCAGAGAAACGAGAGGGTGGCCGCCGACCTGAGGCAGCGGGGCGGCAAGGGCGACAAGGGCGATAAGGACAAGACCAAGAAGGGTCCCCCGCCAGGGAGGGCCAAGAAGGCTGAGTGACAGAGGGTCGCCTCGGCTGGGACAGCAGCTACCAACCGAAGCATTGAACGCGGCCGATGGGTCCAGAAGCAGGTGCTAGACGAGACCCACGAGCTGCGCGAGTTGCTGCACACGGCGCCTGGCGCCAAATTGTATCCGATCCATTTGGTGGAGGCTCCTGGGCGGCCACACAGCGAGCCCAACCGCCCCCGCCAGCGTTTTCACAAGAAGTTCGCCCTGATGACTTTGGCTAATGAGTACTTGTCGGCTCTGAACGCCATGCATCGGGGAGACTGCCGAGAGCTCGCACGGGGGAGCCGTGATCAAGATCGTTTGAAGGAGATGCTCCCCCACCACCATCGAATTCAGCGACTGGCTCTACGTGAGGCAGCGCGGCTTCGAGAGGCGCGCCGGGACTGCGGTCTGACAGGCGCCCAGGCCATCGAGAAGATTGTGAAATCGGCAGCTTTATCATGCACGGGAGCCCAGAGGCGCAAGACTGCGCATGAGACCCTGCGAGCCGATGCTGTAGATGAGCCCCTGGATCCCCGAGTGGCACCCATGTTGTCCGCGTTGAGTCCAGAGGAAGCGGCCTTCTACTCCAATGAGGCCCAAGTTGTCGCGGCCCCAGAGGCCCGCTCGCAGGCCATCTTTCGGGAGCTCGAGCAGCAGTACGGCTTCGTCGGAGGATCTGAGGAGGAGTACGCTAGGTAGTTCCTGAGACAGGACATCGCTGTCAGTGCAGTTGTTTTCAGCAAAGACCGCGCGGCAGTCCAACTGCGGGTGCGTCCCAGGGCCCTAGGACTTGAGCCAAAACAGCGGCGGGCAGCGCGCATGCCACAAAACAAGACAAGCGTGTGCAACATACACACATGGTGGCACGGGCGGCAGAGGGGCAGGGGAGTGCACTCTTCACACTGGGTGAGTACAATGCTGCCCCGATGCCGCTCCCTCTGAAAGGGCAACGCTGCACGCAATTATAATGTATATCAGCCCACAAGCCGAAACACCTCAAGCAGATGCGGCTTGAGGCTCGAAATATAAATATGAATGTCTAGATTCACCAATCCAGACTGTCAACTCAAAGGATATGCATGAGACACCTCAAGCAAGGTGCGGCCTGAGGCTCAAAATATAAATACAAGAATCTGAATATCTGGATACACTACTCCAGACGATCAACTCAAAAGATATGCGTACATCACCGTAGCCCTCACTAGGTCCATCAGCAGCTGCAATCAGGACCTCACGGGCTCGCATCCCCTGGAACGGCGACCCGACGCTGGGCCTTCCGCTCCTTGGCTCGCTCACGCTGTCCGCGGCGCAGCCGCAGACGGTGTGCCTCCTCATCCTCTTGCTCAGCAGTAGGCGCCATGCTGAACAGGCCGTGGCGGAGGAACTGCGATAGTACCTCGTTAGGCTGCACGGCTTTTGTCAACACATCCGCTAGCATGTGGCTATTAGGCAGCCACTTGAACTTGATGGCCTCCTGCTCTATCAAATCCTTGGCCACCAGCAAGTCAATGAGGGTCTGCCGAGACACCGGCATCGACCCGATCTTGGACGTGTGATCGTAGAGCGACTTCGCATCCGTCACGAGCGCCCCTGGAACCTTCAGCGCCAGCCTCCAGTCCCCTTGCAAGGGCGGCTCCCCGCACAAGATTGCCTCAATCAGCAGCCTGAGGTAAAGCTGCCGATCCAAAGCCACGGACATAGCCGCAGATTCTGCGGCCATCGTAGATCCAACAACTCGTGTAATAGTACTGCTCTGAAACTCCACTAGACAGCATACGGTTAGCTCCTTCAAAACTCGGGTGTCCGTAATCATACTCATGAACCCCATCTGGCTCTTACAGCCGGGTTCCTTCGCAAACGAAGCGCCCATAAGCGTGAGCACCTGCAAGCGCTCGATGTCCACACGGCGGATCCGGAGAGTCGCAAGACCTCTCTTGTCGTAGTCCTGAAGCCGGTCGATGATGTCATTGAGCACTCGCAGGTGCAGCAACCTCCGACCTTTCGGATCCTTCTGTGCGAGCGCCGAGACACTATACGCGAGTTGTGGCACCACGCGTGCGACAGGCCACCGCACCTTCTGGAGCAAGCTCCGGTAGTCGTGGTGCTCCTCGGGAGTCATCTCCCGCTCCTCGTTGTCACCCCTTGCAAGGGGGTGCTTCGTCAGCTTGCCGATGTACTCGTGCATGCTGATCTCGATGTGATCGGGGTGGCGCCACCACTCCTCACCGAGATAGGCGACTGCCTCCTTGTCGTTGCCCTTCTTCCAGTGCTTGATGTTGAAACGACTGTTGATGTTCGCCTTCACCTCCTGGTACTGGGGATCGTGTGGGTCTCCAAACAGCATGCCGTCATCGACGTGCAAGGTCAACATAGCGATCAACTTGTCTTTCATTCGATAAACGAAGACAGCTCGAACACAGCGCAGCTCCACGAAACCGACCTCGTCCGTCAACACCTGGCGGGCTCGGAGATACCACAACCGAGGCGCCTCAGTCAGACCGTACGCCCCTTTCAGCAAGCGAAGCAACGCATAAGGCCGCACGGCTGGCCATCCAGCACCGTCGACGGCTGGAAGCCCGTCCTTAGGAGCCCTCACATACAACTCCCGTTCCAGCTTCAGCCCGGACAGGAACGCAGTCGCTACGTCGAAACACTCGAATGTCCAATCCATCGCCATTGTGATAGACGCACACACCAGCACAGCCAAAGGGGAAGTAGTAGGCGAATCCGTCCTGAATAGACCAAGCTGCGGATCGAGATGGCCAGGGATGATCAAGCGAGACTTCGCCTCCAGCTCCAGCCCTCGCCCCCGGTTCGTGCGAACCGAACGCATGGGCACCGAGATGATCTTGTCCTTCGGGATGCTCTTCTCCTCCTCCTCGGTGACCAGCTCGACCGTGTTGTTGGCGATCCATTGCCGCCACTCGGCGGCATCGGCCTCGTCGAACTTAGCCTTCTCGTGCTGGTTGAAGTGACGTGGGTCTAGCTCCTTCGCGTTCTGCTTCATCACGAGTGCGAACACGTCGTGCTCGTACTGGGCCTCCTGCA